ACTCAGCTTTGCTAGCCCAGACATATCCAGCACACTCAGAGCTTTCACTGCATATGTCAGAGTGAGAGAGAAGTGGACAAAAGGGGAGCAGAAGACTAAAGCTGACCCACGACTGACCACAAATGTTGTCAAATCAAAAGTCTAAGCATGGGTTCTCTTCTCTAAAATCAGACAAAATTTTAAAAATCCATTCTACCAGCCTAATAGACTGTCACTGTCCAAACAGCTCCTCATGTGAGCTATGTTATAGAATCATAGAATCATTTAGGTTGGAAAAGACGTCTAAGATCATCAAGCCCAACCACAAACCTAACTCTGCCAAGTCCACCACTAAACCATGTCTATGTGTCTTTTAAATACCTTGGAGGTATGGTGACTCCACTATTTCCCTGGGCAGCCTGTTCAATGATTGAAAACCCCTTTGGTGAAGAAATTTTTCCTAATATCCAATCTAAACCTCCCCTGGTGCAACTCGAGGCCATTTCCTCTCATTCTATCACTTACTTGGGAAAAGACACCGACCCCCACCTTGCTACAATCCCCTTTCAGGCAGTTGTAGAGAGTGGTAAGGTCTCTCCTCAGCCCCTTTTTCTCCAGGCTAAACAACCCCAGTTCGCTCAGCTGTTCCTCATTGGACTTGCTCTCTAGAACCTTCACCAGCTTCACTGCCCTTCTCTGGACACGCTCCAGCACCTCAATGTCCTTCTTGTAATGAGGAGCCCAAAACTGAACACAGTATTTGAGGTGCAGCCTCACCAGTGCCGAGTACAGGGGAGTGATCACTTCCCCAGTCCTACTGGCCACACTACTCCTGATACAAGCCAGGATGCTGCTGGCCTTCTTGGCCACCTGGGCACACTGTTACATGTACAATACTTACAGAAGAACCCTAAATTTCAAGGATATTTGCCTGAAATTACTACAATACAAATAAGGAATGACAAATTATGCAACAATCTGAAGGACATGCTTCAGCTTTCACCAGTGAACATACTGTATCTGTAGAACACAGGAAGGGAGTTACACACAGCATGTACACCTGCATACACAGACTTGTTCTACAGAGAAAAAAAAACCCAAATCACTTAAAATCAGCTTAAAAGAAAACAGAAGGCATGCCACACCTTCTATGATAGTGATCTTGCAATAGGGTGATGCAACACCACTACCAACAAACCTACCAAGAGAAACGCTAGTTAGAAAGCAAATAAAAACCACAAGACACTTAAGGGTTATGCTCGATAGCCAGAAGACAGACCTCAGGTTTGACAACTGTGAAGAACTCTTAAACCCAAAACCGTGCTGAGAATAAGCAGGAAGCTAGTCATCAACAGTTCTTAACATCACAACCTCAGCAGTGCAGAACAAGCCCCTTTACAGGGTAGCTGCAGCTTGCCAGTGAGGTGGGATCTGAGTAGAAATGTCACCTCCAGGTCCACTTGGTACCCAGCATAAAGCCTTACACCTCACGCCCTGCTGACAAGACACTGCACGCACTGTCCTCCCATGAGACCTTATTACACGTACATTGTGCTGTAACACTTTCTTTAAACTGGCGCAGGGAGAGAATCGCCACAGCTTGTCACTCACCCGAACATCCAGTTCCCGAGCTGATGTGCTGCTCAGAGCAGTGATGAAACTGATGCCACAGCTGCTGGGCAATAAAAAGCAGCAGGACAACAGCTGCCGCCATTTACTAGAGGGAGCACAACTGCACCATTGCTAAGCCAGTCTGCAGCATTTTATCTAATGGCACTATACAAGCAGCTACTGCCGGGCCCTACCACACTGCAGAACTTATAGACTAAAATTATCTACTCCTTTTCTTCAAATTCTCAGTCCCACAGAGACTGGATTAGTTCAGGAAAGGTATGAAGTAAGACATAATACTCTATTTACCAAAATTAATCACTTGAAACCTTATGCTGAAATTCTCTATGAAGATATTATTGCTACTCTACAGCACACAGCCAGCAATATATGCTTTAGTACTTGAAACGCAACATTTATTTTGGTTATCTAGGAAACAATAAAACACCCCATGCTGAAAATACTTTGCAGCGTTACACTACTAAAGCATTTAGTGCAGCGGCACTGTGAAGTTTGCGGATGAAAACCAGGAGAATTCACAATTCCTTCTCTGACATCTGAGGAAAATTCATAAAATCTATTATCTAACTGGGCTCAGACAGCATCAGAGATAAAAGCGTGGTCTGTCTGACTGCAGACTGACCACTGAGTATTCATCAACAGCATATGTTAATTATTCAACTTGAGATTGTAAGATAAACACTGTGTGTCTATCGTTCTGCACTCCAGCTGTACTGGCTTTATAGCTCAAGCTTTAGCACTCACTGGTACAAACTGTCCTGGCTGCTCACTAAACTTCAAATCTGCATGCCTTTTGAATCAGATTATTTATTCATACATCAAGTTTGGAAGCAAGCAGAAAACAATGAAGACGATGGAAGAAAGGAAAGTAATTAACTAACAACCCCTGACACCAAAAAAACCAAAAGTTTGAAAAAAGGCACCATACGTGAAATACTATGACAACTGCAGGTACAACTGCCTGACTAGGTCTAAATTTCATCAGGCTGATAAGGAAGATTAAGTAGTTGTCCTCTGTTTGTCCCAGCCTCTGCCCCCACACACATTACCAAAAAAAACAGAAAATGTCAGTCAAAATCATCATTCAACTTGCCCAACTGCCATGTGGTTCACCTCAGTTCATGCATTTAGAGTACAAATCAACAAGAAAGTAATTTGTTTGGCAAACACTTCAGTAAGCTTTTTTGTAAACTGTCTTAAAAATAATACCCAGATTGAAACTATTAGTTTTCTGTGGATCCCACTAAAGGCATGGTACTTCAATACTCTCCAATCTCTGGTTTGAGGCAAATCAACAGACTTTCAGTCTGAAGTGACCAAGCCTGTGTCTTTTGAAATGGAAATGTACATGACAAGACTGCTACATGGAAACTACTTATCTCTGCAAAAGACAAAATCATAGTATGTTATGGAAAAATATGCACTTAAGTTTGTTTTTTTTTTTTTTAAAAAAAAAAACACAAAACTTTTTTCAGTATATCACAGGCCTTTAGAAAAATAAACATTTAATTTTTGAAAGCAATGTCACTTTGAGTCACAGACCCTCAAGTCTCTAGAGGAAAAAGGATTAGCGGAGTAAATTGACCATATACCAGGAACTAAATCTCGGTACAGCAGCAGTAGGATCATGGGACTCTCTGTGCTAAAGAGAGGTGTAGCAGAAAATCCTAACTTAGCAAAGCCCCATTTAAGACAAACTTCAGGGTCTTGAATCACAACACCCATGCTGGGACACTCCAGTTATTGCATGCTTCTGCAACAATTTGCAGCTTCTCTGTTTTAGGGAGATTGATTTCCTTTTTCCTCTATTTTTAGTATTTTCTTTCAAGGAAAAAAAATTAGATGGGAGAATATAATTTAAAATAAACTATGAATTATCCTGGATGGTAGAAGAAACCCCCTTCTCCTTTTTTAACACTAATTCGGACAAGTGACAAGAATGATCAGAGGCAGAGCAGGATATATATTCCTGAAAGCATGTAGAAGTACATAAGGAAGACTTGTTGATGTTGCTACAGAGTCACTTATAAAAATTAAAAAGAACCTGATCCTGGTGATGGGAGGATTTAAAAAAAAAAAAATTTTTTTCAATCCTCTCCCTTCTCTTTGACTTTTTCCTTTAAGTGAAAAAAAACAAACCTGTCTCCTTCCTAATGCAATACCCCTTGATTTCCCCTAAGTTTTGCATTACATTGATTCCAGATGCAAAACCAAAACCTTTAGCAAATACTTATCAAAGTTCCTTATCAAAACACACAAATTAACTATAAAAGACATTTGAGCAGTGAAGAACATACTAATAAAATTAACCCCACATTTCAACAGACATGGGAGTGGCAGAGTTATTGGACAATGTAAGATACTTATTTCCCTAAATTAGGCCTTTCAGTCTGGCTCCTTCAGTAGCCTGTTCCTTCCCACACTCAAGCGAAAAAGAAAACCTAGGACTCAGGCTAACATGAAAGAGGCACGACTTTCCATATATTCAAAGTCATAAGCTGAAAGCAAGAGAGTGAAAGACAGACTGACTGCCAATGCAGCAATTACTCAGCTAAGTCAAGTCACAGGACAGCACGGGTTTTAGCTATAATGCAGTATTTTCCCCCTTCTTTAAGTACCTAACATAATATTAAAAAAGATGCAATATCAAAAGTTACTTTTCCAATGGAAAGCACATTTCTTGTCCTAGAGAACTGAAAAAATGGTTATTCTCCTCCTCTTGCCCCTCAGAAAGGTAAAACTCAAAAGAAAGCATTCCTAGAACTACTTGAACAAGTTCTGTAGCTAGAGAAACAGCAACAGTAACACCAGCCATCAAAGTGTTCCCTCAGCTGCTGGTCTCCCTTCTCACCACAACCAGGCCAAATCTTGATTGGCAGACAACAGCCAAAGGGGACCATCTGGGATACCGAATACAAATCAGGGATTTAATCCCACCCCACCTTTCCAAGTGTCACTGTCCTCTACGGACCATCTTTTTAAATACAGACGCAAGAGGCATGCATTGTATGTACAGCTACACAGACAGTTACTCCGTTTGGACATCTTGCTATGCTTTCTACATTAAAAAACAAAACCAAAACGAAAAAACAAAAAAAAGAAAAATTCACAAGGAGAGTCTGCACATACTCTTTACGCTAGATAACCATCTATAAGCACACTTCAAAAGTCTGTTCTTTTCCCTGAAGAACCACCGTGACTGAATGCAGTATCCTTGATCCAGCCACAACTCACGGCAGCCCCCGCTCTTCAACTGACAAAGCCTGTTCCCAAAATCCTACTAGTATTTCTCACAGGCAGTTTCATATGGCTAACGAGAAGAATCTGTGAAGAAGACCTTTTAGCTCTAGGAACAGTTTATTTTGTGTATCTGGAGTACCACCTTTGTGCAAAGAACTTTCAAGCACTTGGAACAATGACGACACATTATTGTTACAGAGCAGTAACACAGATGTTCCGCCATGTCAAGTTCAGTCCTGCAACAACAGCACACTCAAGAGCTACTCAACACGCATGTATTTAAAAACCAACCATAATTAGCAGAATACTGTGAAGCAGATATCCCACAGCAAGCTTTTGAAAAGCTAGCAACAGTTTTCTGATGAAAGAGCAGAGTCTATCACCAGACAAATCAAGAACACTTTCATTTGCTTAAATCTTATTATGGATAATTCACAGCTCATTTGCCACAAAAGGCAATACAGCTCAAAAGAAAGGAGTCAGGAAACCCAGTTTTGTATCTCACTTGTGCTGCATTGCTGCTTTGTAGTTGTGGGAGTACACTATTAATAAAATGTGCATTAAAAAACATAAAAGTCAATAAAAAGTCCATACAGCAAAGGAGCTAGCCTCATCCAACTAACAGATGTAGAAATAAGGCAGCAAAATACTGGAAACCCTGAAGCATTCAGTGAACACATTTTCCAAGGACAGCTGGAATAGGCATTTGTTGATTTCTGTAGGAAGCAGGAGCTTTTGACCTAGTCCTAATGATGTAAATCAGAACAGTTACTAACAAATTTGGGTCTGGGAACCACAGGTGGATTGCAAAGACAGAAGTGGTCTGCAGCTGGCCCTCAGAACCACACTGAACAACCTAATGCACTGTACTGGTACTAGCAACTATCCTACTAGGTCACACCATGTAATGCAACATGTTTACGTTAGCATAAATGAATGAGAGATGCATACAAAAGTCAGGCATGCTTATCTCCCCTAAAGACACAAGATTTTAAATAAAAATTGAAGACAGTTCATGCTTTTTTTCTTTTTCTTCTGCTCCTCACAAACAAAAAGGTTTTTAGGAATGTGGCAGAAAGCTGCAACACATGTGAAAGATCCCACAGCCAACTAATACATTTACTCTAAAATTCCTTGTTAATCTCATTTTCTAGTCCTAGTTAGCACCAAAAAATAAATCCTACACTAAAAGTTCCTCAATGCATTTCTTCTTTCATTTAATAATGTTTCTTCTCATGTCCAGGTTTTATACTAAAATTATTGGTGAAGCAGGGGAAAAGAACCCCCATTTTAACATATCAGCTGTGTTATTCCAAAATAAATTTGCTTCTTAAGCAGCATCAGGCTCTACATCCATTAGTCAAACTCAGACTACCATTTTCTACTCTGCCTGTTTAAACTGGCACTTTTCCGTGACTTACAAGAACAAGCTGCAACACACGTACACAATCTACAAACAAAACTCATGAAAAGCACTCGTTCAAGGTCTAGGCTGTTCTAACCTGTTCCATTGCTGTTCTGAGTATGTCCAGCACGAAGCAGTATCAAGAGTCACAGACCAGGGCACCTTGCCTGCTTCACAGATCATGTACTTACAACACCTCTGCTTTTCTCAGACCCTTCGCTGGGGAAAGTTTGCAGGTATGCAAACAAGAACCTCTTATAGCTGGATGGGAGAGCAGTCGTGCAAGTAGCACCTTCCAGACTCTGTGGAGCAAGACGAGGCCAACAAAACAGCTCAGTGGGGCTCAGCATCACAGGCCAGGCCACTAATACAGCCACAGTAGGTTTGTACTGTATCATAATGATTTAGGGTTACCTGCATTTTAAAAATATTACAAT